CCCACAGTACTGTTTGCTGATGATGGTTCACGCTGCCCTCGAGTTCACGCCCCAGGCCCAGGATTGATACCATGTTGATTTTTAATGATGTACTGCTGAAAGGAAGGCAGGCGAGGACCCAGGCTAGACATCAGCGGTCGGCTCCAATGCTGTGCTAAATGCCATTCTAATTATCTTGCTGCACACTGAATGCCAGAAGTAAACATTTACACAGTTTACACTAACCCCATAACCCCCCAAACTCTGTTCAGTGTTCAGGGGATGCTGGATGCTCGTTGATGTCCGACCCCGGCTGTGAACCCTGCCTTGTTTTTGCCTGTTAGGCTTGATAAACTCAGCCTCCATTTTATGTAGGCTAGAGGATATTAGTACCACATCCATCCACTGTTAACTAGGAGTGCGTCTCAAATGATATAGTGCACTACTTTTGACCAGGGCCCATAGGTGGTGTTTCCGTCGTTCAAAAGTCTAGACATGATAGAGGACATGGTTATAGACAAAGCTAGGGACCTCATCATCTGAAACCTTTTAGGAGCTTATAACTTTCAGACAGATAGTGGTTATATGATAGAAGGTAAGTATTGGTTCAACTACATGACCACGCCCAGCCCCATGCGCTCAGAGGCCTCGTTGGAAATGTAATCTAGATCTTAACAGGTCGTTATTGTAAAATATAATGTGTTCTCAATGACGGCAAACACTTAGATTTTAGATAGACTGAAGACATACAGTGTGAATATGGTGTGCAGTCTAATGACAATGATAATACTGCTGGAGGGAATGGATTACCCCCATTTACACACTAGACTGAAACTATGTAAGAATATGCATGGTACAGTATGAATATATCATCAATTATTCAATACCATAATAGTATGCATTATTACAAATGGACAGACTTATAATACATAATACTATGGCTACATACTACTATCACACTATATTGACCATACTATGACTATGAACATCAAAAGACGTCAATAGGGTCCATTAGTAATTTAAAGTTTATTGAAATTGTTCACAAAATGATCTTACCAAAAGCAGAACAAATTACAATGCATATTATAAAAGATTAAAAGTCTAAAAGACCATTGTCTTCATACACTGTGCAGGCCCACATAAAAAAATACTATAGTTTATTATCGTATAAATACTCTAGTATTATTATAGTAAAAAAAAAACTGTAGTATTTCTGTGGACTCAAGTGTTTTTGCGGACTGGAGTGTTTTTGTTGACATTACTGTAGTATTTACTATAGTGTTTTTGTTTTATTATATTTGACATAGAAGTGGGGTTTATTTCCCCTTGAGGAAACCTTCTGGACAAATACTAAAATAGCAAATGTTCCATAACCTGTAGGTAGGTAGGACTGGGGTCTGAACGGATAGTACAGAGCTTCTGTTCTTTTATATAAACTGTAGTACGTATGTAAAGAGACTTGGGGCTTGTAGCCCTTTTCTACCCCTCTTCTCAGGGGTGTTGGAGTTCTCCTTTTGTCTTCTGCGACTTGATTTTATTAAAACAAACTTAATTGGATAATTAAATGTAAAGAAAAAAATACAAAAGCTACAAATAAAAACAGGAGGTAGGGGTTGAGCAGGGGATACAAACACGGTTTAGGGGGTAGGGTCGGGAATAAGATACGGACACGGTTTAGGGGGTAGGGTCGGGAATAAGATACGGACCCGGTTTAGGGGGTAGGGTCGGGAATAAGATACGGACCCGGTTTAGGGGGTAGGGTTGGGAATAAGATACGGACCCGGTTTAGGGGTAGGGGGTACCGGTTAGGGGTCGGGAATAAGATACGGACCCGGTTTAGGGGGTAGGGTTGGGAATAAGATACGGACCCGGTTTAGGGGGTAGGGTCGGGAATAAGATACGGACCCGGTTTAGGGGGTAGGGTCGGGAATAAGATACGGACCCGGTTTAGGGGGTAGGGTCGGGAATAAGATACGGACCCGGTTTAGGGGGTAGGGTCGGGAATAAGATACGGACCCGGTTTAGGGGGTAGGGTCGGGAATAAGATACGGACCCGGTTTAGGGGGTAGGGTTGGGAATAAGATACGGACCCGGTTTAGGGGGTAGGGTTGGGAATAAGATACGGACCCAGTTTAGGGGGTAGGGTTGGGAATAAGATACGGACCCGGTTTAGGGTAAGGGTTTGGGGAGGCATTTATATAATACTGTATCTTTAAAAGAAATAAAAAAAGAGGGTATAGAAACTTCAGGAGTAGTTGGTTGAGTGGCTTCAGGAGTAGTTGGTTGAGTGGCTTCAGGAGTAGTTGGTTGAGTGGCTTCAGGAGTAGTTGGTTGAGTGGCTTCAGGAGTAGTTGGTTGAGTGGCTTCAGGAGTAGTTGGTTGAGTGGCTTCAGGAGTAGTTGGTTGAGTGGCTTCAGGAGTAGTTGGTTGAGTAGTTGGTTGAGTGGCTTCAGGAGTAGTTGGTTGAGTGGCTTCAGGAGTAGTTGGTTGAGTGGCTTCAGGAGTAGTTGGTTGAGTGGCTTCAGGAGTGGTTGGTTGAGTGGTTGGTTGGTTGAGTGGTTGGTTGAGTGGTTGGTTGGTTGAGTGGTTGGTTGAGTGGTTGGTTGAGTGGTTGGTTGGTTGAGTGGTTGGTTGGTTGAGTGGTTGGTTGAGTGGTTGGTTGGTTGAGTGGTTGGTTGAGTGGTTGGTTGAGTGGTTGGTTGGTTGAGTGGTTGGTTGAGTGGTTGGTTGAGTGGTTGTGGATGTTGCTTATGTTTGTGTTTCCATCATCCAACAGGGGCGGGTCTTCTCCAGAGCAGCGACACACAGGGCACACGGCGGTTTGGATGTCAGGTAAGTATTCAGGTAAGTATTGGGTAGGTATTCCTGTTTAAGGCTTTTCTGGGTAAGTATGTATTATTATTTTAAACATTTTTTATAACAGGTCACTGCATGTAAGTATACAGTACATTTTAAATGGCATGCATGTTTTAAAATATGTTTGAGAATCCGCTCTGGGTCGGTATGCATGTATTAAATTCACTCCAGGTAAACATGTGTTTAATGTAGAGCATTCTTTAAAGTCAGCAGCCTCTGTGCTCCTCCATAAGTGGGTGTGACCTGTAGGGAACACAATATACTATACTTGGCATGTAGGTTTCTCACTTATGGGTGGCACAAATTGGGATATGGGGGAGTGGAATGGGCAGGTTATATGCAAACGTAATACTGTAGTATTACTATAGCTTAAAAAATCTATAGTGTTTTTGCCAACCGTAGTGTTTTTGCACAAATTATTGTAGTATTTACTGTAGTGTTTTTGCAGACTGTAGAATACTGTAGTATTTACTATAGTATACTGCAACATGTTATAGTAAGTACTACACATGATCGAGGGATACAACAGTGTGTAGTATAGTATTCTACAGTATACTACAGTTTACTACAGAATTCTATAGTAAGTACTGTATTATACAATAGAAAACTGTAGTATTTATTCATGTGGGGGAAGTGATTCCCTGCACAGCTTCATGGTAAAATCGTTGCATTTAAAATGGGTTCATATTACATGACTGAGGAAATCATTGAACTATCCAACCCAAACACAGTAAACACAGGTGTGTACCCTCAGGCCACATGACTATATCACAGGAGGCTACTGAGGGGGGAACGGCAGGTAGCTTAGTGGTTAAGAGCGTTGTGCCAGTAACCGAAAGGTTGCTGGTTCTAATCCCTGAGCCAACTAGGTGAAAAAAATCTGTCGATGTGCCCTTGAGCAAGGCACTTAATCCTAATTGCTCCTGTAAGTCGCTCTGGATAAGAGCGTCTGCTAAATGACTAAAATGTAAAAAAAAATTAATAATAATGGCCGGAACGGAGCAAATGGAAACCTGGAAACCATGTGTTTGATATATTTGTTACCATTCCACTTATTCATTAGAACGAGCCCGTTCTCCCCAATTAAGGTGCCACCAACCTCCTGTGGTCTAGACTGTGTGTATCGCATTGACCAGACGGCTGCCATTTTGAGCTCTCTGTGACATAGGTATACTTTAACCATGGGCGAGTAGCAGGTACTTATTGAGATGAGACTAGTCACAGCTGACCTTTAGTGCGCTCCCAGTGAATCACAGCTAGTCTTCATATCTACTGAACTGGAAACAGTCACAGGAAGATCTGACCTTTTAGTTACAACAACCCCTGGTCCGTAATACAACAAAGACCCCTGATTTCACAATTACACACCCAAATCAAGAGAAATGGCTTAAAATAAGAAACTACATGTGTAATCAACATAACCACAGCCAGATGCAAATTGTATTAGTAGTAATAGTAGAATATATTCTAAGCTTTGGTGCAAGGCAAGTTCAACTAAAAGTAAAGCTAGCTTGTAGCTAACACTGGGAGGAACCAAACTAAACACATGCAGTGCTTGATAAAAAATTAAACAATGACCTCCAGTTCTGATGTGGTATGAGAGAGAGGAGATTGTCTGGACATTCACAGGTGGAATAACTCAGGCTGTCATGACCACCTATTCATCTCTGTTCATTACCACTTCTTGTCCTTCTGATTATCCCTCCCAACACATAACATCTAATTTCATAGCTCTGGGCTTGTGGTCCGACTGCCATCCACACATGCTTGTTAGGAAATGTAGCATTGGTGCGTCAGTTTGTCAGTTAGAGCCCAGAGGCCTCGCTGTTCACATAAACATCCATTATTTTCTGCCTCCCCCTTTCTCTTCCACCTTCCCCCTTCACTCTCATTATCACAGCCTTGACACAACAGGGAAGAGAACAAAACAACAACACATCACCACACCACTATTGTTTAGAAATAATGCAACGTTTTGCCGCCCGGATGATTATTTGTAGATAATTGGCTTGGGAATATATAAGGCAATTATTTCTCCAAACTAATAATTATTTTCATATAATCAAGGTAATATTTCACACCACAATTACGAAGCAGAGGAATCAATGTTGTTAAATAGACATTGGTGGATGTTGTTTTTCCTCCTTTCTCTCCATCCTTTAGTTTCAGCATACGGGCATGACGGCTTGAGGCAGGCCTCTCTTGGGCACGTACGGTGTTGTCCTGGTAACCATTTTGATGCAGTCAATGATAGGGCAGACACTGAGACAGAGAGTGCAGCCGGTGCAGCTGTCGTTAACTATAGGGAAATGGGTCTCAGGGTCAAACAAAATAGCCTGCAGAGAGAGAGAGAGAGAGAGAGGGGAGGAGAGAGAGCGTGAGAAAGGAGAGAGACAGAGAGAGAGAGACAGAGAGAGAGAGAGAGAGAGAGTGAGAGAGAGAGAGAGAGAGAGAGAGAGAGAGAGCAAAGGCTATAAGGTTTGGAATGGCTGCCATGGACCATCATAGACAGGGTTTTAGCGTGCTAGGCTAGCACAGGAAGCCCCGCAATGCATCCACATTATGTGGCTAGTAGACTAATGTGTTCTGCACTGTTATATCAACAAGGCCTATTGTGTAGTCTGTTATCACAGGTAGCCTTGTTACACAGTGGATTTGTAATAATATTGCGTTCTATTTAAATCATCTTGCTCTGAACATGTATAAACTGCCCTCACGGAAACTGCATGGTATTGCATATTGCCGTCAATTCATCATGTTGATACACAATTTAAACCTTTATGTTTATCGTCCAGGCGCTATCATAAAATGCATACATATTTACAACAGATGTCTTCAGCATATTGTCGTGAAAATCATTCAGGGGACATCTATATCTAACCCTAATTGTAATATTAATTAAAATATATAGAGTACCAGTCAAAAGTTTGGACACACCTACTCATTCTCTCAACCAGCTTCATGAGGTAGTCACCTGGAATGCATTTCAATTAACAATTGTGCCTTGTTAAAAGTTCATTTGAGCCAATTAGTTGTGCTGTGACAAGGTAGGGGTGGTATACAGAAGATAGCCCTATTTGGTAAAAGTCCATATTATGGCAGGAGCAGCTCAAATAAGCGAAGAGAAACGACAGTACATTATTACTTTAAGACATGAAGGTCAGTCAATCTGGAAAATTTCAAGAACTTTGAAAGTTTCTTCAAGTGCAGTCGCAAAAACCATCAAGCGCTATGATGAAACTGGCTCTCATGAGGACCGCCACAGGAAAGGAAGACCCAGAGTTACCTCTGCTGCAGAGGATATGTTCATTAGAGTTAACCGCACCTCAGATTGCAGCCCAAATAAATGCTTCACAGAGTTCAAGTAACAGACACATCTCAACATCAACTGTTCAGAGGAGACTGTGTGAATCAGTCTTGAATTGCTGCAAAGAAACTACTACTAAAGGACACCAATAAGAAGAAGAGACTTGCTTGGGCCAAGAAACACAAGCAATGGACATTAGACAGGTGGAAATCTGTCCTTTGGTCTGATGAGTCAAAATTTGAGATTTTTGGTTCCAACCGCCGTGTCTTTGTGAGACGCAGAGTAGGTGAACAGATGATCTCCACATGTGTGGTTCCCACCATGAAGCATGGAGAAGGAGGTGTGATGGTGCGTTGCTGGTGACACTATCAGTGATTTATTTAGAATTCAAGGCACACTTAACCAGCATGGCTACCACAGCATTCTGCAGCGATACACTATCCCATCTGGTTTGGGCTTAGTGGGACTACCATTTGTTTTTCAACAGGACAATGACCCAAAACACACCTCCAGGCTGTGTAAGGGCTATTTTACCAAGAAGGAGAGTGATGGAGTGCTGCATCAGATGACCTGGCCTCCACAATCACCCGACCTCAACCCAATTGAGATGGTTTGGGATGAGTTGGACCGCAAAGTGAAGGAAAAGCAGCCAACAAGTGCTGAGCATATGTGGGAACTCCTTCAAGACTGTTGGAAAAGCATTCCTCATGAAGCTGGTTGAGAGAATGCCAAGAGTGTGCAAAGCTGTCATCAAGGCAAAGGGTGGCTACTTTGAAGAATCTCAAATATAAAATATATTTTGATTTGTTTAACACTTTTTTGGTTACTACATGATTCCATATGTGTTATTTCATAGTTTTGATGTCTTCACTATTATTCTACAATGTAGAAAATACTAAAAATAAAGAAAAACCCTGGAATGAGTATGTGTGTCCAAACTATTGACTGGTACTGTATATAAAAAAAATTGTGCTATTATGCATTGTGTTGGTGTGTATGTATGTGTCTGTGTGTGTGCGTGCAAGCATGCGTGTGTGTGTGGAACCACCTATGTGATGGAGACACATTATCCTGATGAATGCCGGTCTTTATTAGGAACCATTAATAACATATAATCCCTCTCAGAGATCCACTCACAGACAATGTGCTCTGATAGAACAGGCCGAGCTACTTCATCAATACTTCTGCTGATAGATAATGGGGACATTTATTTACCAGGGAAGAAGAGGAGATTCATTCTTTAATAAAACTGTCACACTGTTCCTTCCTCCGCAGAGGTACTTTCACAGAGCAAGAGAGAGAGAGAGAGAGAGAGAGAGAGAGAGAGAGAGAGAGAGAGAGAGAGAGAGAGAGAGAGAGAGAGAGAGAGAGAGAGAGTTTTTCACTACTAATGTTTATCACTGTGACTGTAATGAAAACTATGCTTTATATAGTATATAGTAAGGGCCACTCTTTAAACAGGCTTTGATTAGACTTGTTCCCGAGTAAGTGTCTCTGAGTGAGTGTGTGCTTCAAATAAATGGAGGGGATGTACAGTACAGTATGTACCTGGTATCCAGAGTCATTGCAGGTCATGTAGCACTTGCCACAGTTGATACACATTTCCTCATCTATTAGAGCCTTGACCTGCTCTGTGTTGTTCAGCTCCCCGTATGCACCGATGTGCTTCAGAGCCCTGGCTATAACATCCTGGGAACAAGGCAACACAACATAATTACATATAGAACATATTATAGAAATATATAGGATCTCTATGGCAACACACACTGATCTAACGACCTGGTCTCAGTCACATACTGTATCTTACATGCCTTGTAACCATTATGGCTAAATCTAGGCATCTGTTCCAATATCTACACTAGTATACTACTAAGAATGAAGCAATGTATTGGGTATGCATTCTACAGTACCTCAAAAACATATTTTAAAAGTACTATGGGAGAACTAAGGGGTGTTCTGCTCTCTTACCTTGACAGCTGGGACTGGTCTCTTGGGGGTGTAAGTTCTGGTGCCATTGGCTTCCACTACTGTGGTCTTCTCACCATAGTCTCTCACTGCCTTCTTGTAGTCGGCCAAAACCTTCTTCTTCTCAAGCAGATAGGGTCCAAAGCTGGGTAAACTCTTAAAGTAGGATTGATAGAAGGCTGAAGGTTAGTTGTTAAATTCTAACAGCTTCAGTCGTAACTTAATATTGGAGGTACTGAAATTCTGAAAAATGATTGGCTTTCCACGATAGCTTTTTTGTGTGAAACCCGTTGTAGTAAATCAATTTTAGGTTATTCCTCTGGTAATATATGACTGACCACTTTTTTTCATTTAGAAAAGTAATTTTGTTTTTAATCAAAAGTGTTTAAAGATAGATGTGACCATGTTATTGATGGGTTTTGATAGTTTAATATGGTTCTAAGTGGGTATTTTACTTATTCATAACTCTCCAATTATCTTAGCAATAACAAAGTAATAAATTAAAATATGTTAAATATGTTTAAAAAAATAATAATCAATTACCAAGGACATTTCTTATGTATCTACTGTCTACCAATGCCATTCCATTTGTATCTATCTTTTGTATCTCTTTGTAATATTGTCTTGCGTCCTCTTCGGCCATATGTTGACAGGTTTGTTTACCTAAGAGAGAGGTTGTTTGTCTACTTACTGCTGATTAGTGAGTCTTTATGCTGCACCTCCAGTACAGAGTACTGAAGCATCACTGATGTGCCTCATTAGAAGCATCAGATGAGAACAAACAGACAGCGAGACAGGGATGAGACGGGAATGAGACGAGGATGAGATGAGGATGGGAGCTCAAAGACCCACAGACTGACCGCATTAAAGGAACACTGTTTGCTTTGGAGTAGTGGCCACTGTTTTTCATCCTGGGAAATTAATGAGATCCGTTCGGCCAACATTTACACGTTAACTGTATCAAGCTCTGGAGGTGTCCCCTAGGCTTATTGAGTTTGTTTAGCGGTTTGATTTTTTTCTCTTACAAGTGAATGACCCACTTTCCCCAAAAACAAGAAAAAAAACTAGTCAAAAACTAAAAAGTACAATAAAACCACACTTGCTTCAGTTCCCGTCTGAAATTACATCTCTTTCCCCAGCTGCTGTGCAGTGCATCGGACGTGATATTGAAAAATTGTTCGGGTTTTAAAAGTGAAATACAAGCTGATGGTGGTCATGGAGGGTGGTTTTCAGGGAGATTATTGTCGTGGGTTTACTCCCGTTTGCATCTCCTGTAGGCCCTCTACTGTAAAATCATGCAATATATTTGCAAAAATATTCATTCGCCATCCTGGCTTAAGACATTACCGTGTCAATGAACAGGAATTGCTTGCTCACTCAAAATGGTTGCTGCCTGCCTGCGAGCTATTCCCCTTGAAAACAACGTGTTGGCGGGGCTACAGGAGAACATTACCTAAAGCACTTAACGGCTTGTCTGAAATGGGCAATTTTGTTTCAGAGAAGAATAACAGACAAAACACAATAACATTCTCTAAGAAAAAAATACAAATCTATGATTGGTTTTTGAGAAAATCTTTGAAAATGGATTTCCAAGGATGTACGATTTCATCCAAATACAGGTACTGCCCTCGTACAGACTTTATACTGTATAGATGTGGAACTTGGAGTCATACAGTCTATGCTTCTTATATGCAAAACAATGTAGTTCTATTGTGAACAGTATGGTCATTCATGTTCATCTGATATACCTAATATCACATTTCAAACATCAAGTCATGTCTCATTTTCAAGCATCAATGTTGTATTTCATAAATAATTGGGACTTTCACACAAACAGTAGTTTTGATCTTCCAAAACCCATGCACAGATATAAGGTATAAAAGTATTTAGTCAGCCACCAATTGTGCAAGTTCTCCCATTTAAAAAGATGAGAGAGGCCTGTAATTTTCATCATAGGTACACGTCAACTATGACAGACAAATTGAGATTTTTTTTCTCCAGAAAATCACATTGTAGGATTTTTAATGAATTTATTTGCAAATTATGGTGGAAAATAAGTATTTGGTCACCTACAAACAAGCAAGATTTCTGGCTCTCACAGACCTGTAACTTCTTCTTTAAGAGGCTCCTCTGTCCTCCACTCGTTACCTGTATTAATGGCACCTGTTTGAACTTGTTATCAGTATAAAAGACACCTGTCCACAACCTCAAACAGTCACACTCCAAACTCTACTATGGTCAAGACCAAAGAGCTGTCAAAGGACACCAGAAACAAAATTGTAGACCTGCACCAGGCTGGGAAGACTGAATCTGCAATAGGTAAGCAGCTTGGTTTGAAGAAATCAACTGTGGGAGCAATTATTAGGAAATGGAAGACATACAAGACCACTGATAATCTCCCTTGATCTGGGGCTCCACGCAAGATCTCACCCCGTGGGGTCAAAATGATCACAAGAACAGTGAGCAAAAATTCCAGAACCACACGGGGGGACCTAGTGAATGACCTGCAGAGAGCTGGGACCAAAGTAACAAAGCCTACCATCAGTAACACACTACGCCGCCAGGGACTCAAATCCTGCAGTGCCAGACGTGTCCCCCTGCTTAAGCCAGTACATGTCCAGGCCCGTCTGAAGTTTGCTAGAGTGCATTTGGATGATCCAGAAGAGGATTGGGAGAATGTCATATGGTCAGATGAAACCAAAATATAACTTTTTGGTAAAAAAAGACAAAGAATGCTGAGTTGCATCCAAAGAACACCATACCTACTGTGAAGCATGGGGGTGGAAACATCATGCTTTGGGGCTGTCTTTCTGCAAAGGGACCAGGACGACTGATCCGTGTAAAGGAAATAATGAATGGGTCCATGTATCGTGAGATTTTGAATGAAAACCTCCTTCCATCAGCAAGGGCATTGAAGATGAAACGTGGCTGGGTCTTTCAGCATGACAATGATCCCAAACACACCGCCCGGGCAACGAAGGAGTGGCTTTGTAAGAAGCATTTCAAGGTCCTGGAGTGGCCTAGCCAGTCTCCAGATCTCAACCCCATAGAAAATCTTTGGAGGGAGTTGAAAGTCTGTGTTGCCCAGCGACAGCCCCAAAACATCACTGCTCTAGAGGTGATCTGCATGGAGGAATGGGCCAAAATACCAGCAACAGTGTGTGAAAACCTTGTGAAGACTTACAGAAAACGTTTGACCTGTGTCATTGCCAACAAAGGGTATATAACAAAGTATTGAGAAACTTTTGTTATTGACCAAATGCTTATTTTCCACCATAATTTGCAAATAAATTCATAAAAAATCCTACAATGTGATTTTCCGGATTTTTTTTCCTCATTTTGTCTGTCATAGTTGACGTGTACCTATGATGAAAATTACAGGCCTCTCTCATCTTTTTAAGTGGAAGAACTTGCACAATTGGTGGCTGACAATACTTTTTTTCCCCACTGTATGTTTGTGTGTGCATGTGGAAAGACGTCCACCTCAGGCCCCTTGTGATCTCTTTGCAAGTGCTTAAGTGGAGAAGTAACTGCTTGTTGTGATTCCTCTAGATTACCATATTCATGACAGTTTGAAGGCAGAATCCCACATACAGTGGGGAAAAAAAGTATTTAGTCAGCCACCAATTGTGCAAGTTCTCCCACTTAAAAAGATGAGAGAGGCCTGTCATTTTCATCATAGGTACACGTCAACTATGACAGACAAATTGAGAAAAAAAAATCCAGAAAATCACATTGTAGGATTTTTAATGAATTTATTTGCAAATTATGGTGGAAAATAAGTATTTGGTCACCTACAAACAAGCAAGATTTCTGTCTCTCACAGACCTGTAACTTCTTCTTTAAGAGGCTCCTCTGTCCTCCACTCGTTACCTGTATTAATGGCACCTGTTTGAACTTGTTATCAGTATAAAAGACACCTGTCCACAACCTCAAACAGTCACACTCCAAACTCCACTATGGCCAAGACCAAAGAGCTGTCAAAGGACACCAGAAACAAAATTGTAGACCTGCACCAGGCTGGGAAGACTGAATCTGCAATAGGTAAGCAGCTTGGTTTGAAGAAATCAACTGTGGGAGCAATTATTAGGAAATGGAAGACATACAAGACCACTGATAATCTCCCTCGATCTGGGGCTCCACGCAAGATCTCACCCCGTGGGGTCAAAATGATCACAAGAACGGTGAGCAAAAATCCCAGAACCACACGGGGGGACCTAGTGAATGACCTGCAGAGAGCTGGGACCAAAGTTACAAAGCCTACCATCAGTAACACACTACGCCGCCAGGGACTCAAATCCTGCAGTGCAAGACGAGTCCCCCTGCTTAAGCCAGTACATGTCCAGGCCCGTCTGAAGTTTGCTAGTGCATTTGGATGATCCAGAAGAGGATTGGGAGAATGTCATATGGTCAGATGAAACCAAAATATAACTTTTTGGTAAAAACTCAACTCGTCGTGTTTGGAGGACAAAGAATGCTGAGTTGCATCCAAAGAACACCATACCTACTGTGAAGCATGGGGGTGGAAACATCATGCTTTGGGGCTGTTTTTCTGCAAAGGGACCAGGACAACTGATCCGTGTAAAGGAAAGAATGAATAGGGCCATGTATCGTGAGATTTTGAGTGAAAACCTCCTTCCATCAGCAAGGCCATTGAAGATGAAACGTGGCTGGGTATTTCAGCATGACAATGATCCCAAACACACCGCCCGGGCAACGAAGGAGTGGCTTCGTAAGAAGCATTTCAAGGTCCTGGAGTGGCCTAGCCAGTCTCCAGATCTCAACCCCATAGGAAATCTTTGGAGGGAGTTGAAAGTCCGTGTTGCCCAGCAACAGCCCTAAAACATCACTGCTCTAAGAGGAGATCTGCAACAGAGGAATGGGGCCAAAATACAGCAACAGTGTGGTGAAAACCTTGTGAAGACTTACAAGAAACGGTTGACTGTGGTCATTGCCACAAAGGGGTATTTAACAAAGTATTGAGAAACTTTATTATTGACCAAATACGTTATGTTTCCCACCATAATTTTGAAATAAATTCATTAAAAATCCTACAAATGTGATTTTCTGGTATTTTTTTTCCTCATTTTGTCTGTCATAGTTGAACGTGTACCTATGATGAAAATTACAGGCCTCTCTCATCTTTTAAGTGGGAG